AAGTTGTTATGTTTAACTACAAAGAAAAGAATGTCTCTGCAGGCCCTTTGGAAGTGTACTGATGCCTGCGGCAACTGGCAGGAACTCCAAGGAGGAAATCTTTGTTTCTAAATAAACATTCAGGCTTTTCTAGAGTCTCAGGATCTCTGGGTCAGGACCGGGCAGGCAGGTCCCCCTATGCAACTGCCCTCATGATCACCCTTCGCCTGCACATCTCTCACCCTTCGCCTGCACATCTCTCACCCCTCCCTCCCAGGGCCGCTCATCCCAGCACTGGACAGAATGACCCTTATTATGATGATCTTGACATCTGGCTCCCTGCCACATCCCTCCATAGATTCAGGGGCTGTCAGAGTAAGCCCAATCTCTCTTTCAGATGGCGGCCCTTTGACTGTTTGCTGAAGCTGGTCATATACACCTGGAGCCTCTGCTTCTCCAAAGTAAACAGCCCCATTCTTTCCACTGTTTCGTACAAAATAAGGTTTGAGACAGCACTGTCATTCACCTAGATTCTCCTAATGTGCTGATTTATCTAGATTGCTCTCAAAGTGTAGCATCCAGAAATAAATGCAGTGGCTCGGCTATGGACTAATTGATACCTCGTAAAAGAAATGTATCACCTTCATCCTCCTAGCTAGAAAGTGAAAGTGTCAGCAGTTCAATCATGTCTGACTCTTTGCGACCCCATGGACTTTTACCTGCCAGGCTCCTCTGTCCATTGAATTCTCCAGGCAAGAGTATTGGAGTGGGTTGCCATTCCCTTCTCAGGGGATCTTCCCGACTCAGGGAACAAACCTAGGTCTTGCTTCTGTTAATGTATCCAGATCAGTTAGAAAAGTTGCTCAGTCATGTCCAACTTTTTGTGACCCCATGGTCTGCAGCACGCCAGGCCTCCCTGTCCATTACCAACTCCCAGAGGCTACACAAACTCATGTCCATTGAGTCGGTGATGCCATCCAACCATCTCATCCTGTTTTCCCCTTCTCCTCCTGCCCTCAATCTTTCCCAGCATCAGGGTCTTTTCAAATGAGTCAGCTCTTCCCATCAGGTGGCCAGAGTATTGGAGTTTCAGCTTCAACATCAGTCTTTCCAATGAATATTCAGGACTGATTTCCTTCAGGATGGACTGGTTGGATCTCCCTGCTGTCCAAGGGACTCTCAAGAGTCTTCTGCAACATCACAGTTCAAAAGCATCAATTCTTCAGCTCTCAACTTTCTTTATGGTCCAACTCTCATATCCATACATGACTGCTGGAAAAATCATAGCCTCGACTAGACTGACCTTTGTTGGCAAAGTAACGTCTCTGCTTTTTAATATGCTGTCTAGGGTGGTCATAACTTTCCTTTCAAGGAGTAAGAGTCTTTTAATTTCATGGCTGCCGTCACCATCTGCAGTGATTTTGGAGCCCCCCAAAATAAAGTCTGCCACTGTTTCCATTGTTTCCCCACCTATTTGCCATGAAGTGATGGGACCAGATGCCATGATCTTAGTTTTCTGAATGTTGAGCTTTAAGCCAACTTTTTCACTCTCCTCTTTCACTTTCATCAAGAGGCTCTTTAGTTCCTCTTCACTTTCTGCCATAAGGGTGGTGTCATCTGCATATCTGAGGTTATTGATATTTCTCCCGGCAATCTTGATTCCAGCTTGTGCTTCTTCCAGCCCAGCGTTTCTCATGATGTACTCTGCATATAAGTTAAATAAGCAGGGTGACAATATACAGCCTTGACGTACTCCTTTTCCTATTTGGAACCAGTCTGTTGTTCCATGTCCAGTTCTAACTGTTGCTTCCTGACCTGCATACAGGTTTCTCAAGAGGCAGGTCAGGTGGTCTGGTATTCCCATCTCTTTCAGAATTTTCCACAGTTTATTGTGATCCACACAGTCAAAGGCTTTGGCATAGTCAATAAAGCAGAAATAGATGTTTTTCTGGAACTCTCTTGCTTTTTTGATGATCCAGCGGATGTTGGCAATTTGATCTCTGGTTCCTCTGCCTTTTCTAAAACCAGCTTGAACATCTGGAAGTTCACAGTTCCTGTATTGCTGAAGCCTGGCTTGGAGAATCATAAGCATCACTTTACTAGCGTGTGAGATGAGTGCAATTGGGCAGTAGTTTGAGCATTCTTTGGCACTGTCTTTCTTTGGGATTGGAATGAAAACTGACCTTTTCCAGTCCTGTGGCCACTGCTGAGTTTTCCAAATTTGCTGGCATGTTGAATGCAACACTTTCACAGCATCATCTTTTAGGATTTGAAATAGCTCAACTGGAATTCCATCACCTCCACTAGCTTTGTTTGTAGTGATGCTTCCTAAGGCCCACTTGACTTCACATTCCAGGATGTCTGGCTCTAGGTCAGTGATCACACCACTGTGATTATGTGGGTCATGAAGATCTTTTCTGCATCTGGATCATCCAAACCCTATCTAATGCAATCTATCTGCCAGTCTAATAAAAGTCCATGGGCACAGTCACTCCATCAGTCAGAACTGGACTAGAGAGCATGATGCTGGAAAGAGACCTTCAAGTTGATATCAACCCATCACTAGGCACAGCCAGATCTGAGTTCTCCACACCCCAGATCATCTTCTAGTTTCCCCTCTTTGGGGAACTGCACCAGGTAATTTTAGGGACCACCCCTCCCCAGTCTCACTTCACATGCTTCAGGGAACTCTGGCCTAGAAATAGCCAAAGAGCTCAGAGTTGCCCTCATCTGCCTCCCCCAACCACAGTGATTGCTCTCCAGATCAAGAGGGATGAGAGGTAATCTAACCAGAGGTGATGCTGGAGACTTATGGGGAGGAATCCCCCTCTTTCTACAAGGGACTGGTGAGAATCAATTGCTGGCCAAAGTTTTCACTGGAGAGGAAAAGCTATCCTGAAAAGAACTATAGCAGAGAAAAGCAGCAAAACAAAGTAGGGAGACAGAGCCACAAAAATATCACTGGAGCCCCTGGATCCAGCCATACCTGAAGCCAATTTTTTCCTTTGAACTTATTAGTTTCATGAGTCACCGAATTCCCTCTTTGCCAAAATCATTTAGAGTTGGGTTTCCACCAACAAGCAGAAATCAAAATTGTACAGCTTCCCTCATACACATTCAGAAAGGTCATGTGATACCTCATCAGGTCCCCGTTTCCCTACCCAAAGTCTACCCTCACTGAAGCCCTGTCCGCAACATGGAATTGCAGTGAAAACCTCCTGCTCTCAAGTTCAATAAGCCCAGGCCCCATCTTGGCTGGCTTTGGGCCCCTGAGCATATCACCGCAGCTGATCTTCCTAGACCTCCTCACTGGAACCCACCACACAGGATTATTGCGAAGGAGGAGTTAACATGTGTTAAATCCTCACAACAATGCCAGGCACGTAGAAATGCTCAGAATATTACAGTGTATGTTGTTGTCATTGTCATTATTGCTGCTATACTATTATTACCAGTCTAGTTACACTGCCAAAGTCAACGTTTCAATGTGCTAAACCTGTGCCAGCACTTACGCTCTTGGCTTTCTTTCACAGGGTTTCTTCCATCATCCCTAGAGAATGCCTCCTTCTACTTTTTCCCACTGCCAATACCAACTCACCATCCTCCCTCTGATCTCTTTACCAAAACTTAACCATCCACGGCCATGGCATAATCTATCACCCACAGCCATGGCATAATCCACTCTATTTAGATGCTTAGGTGAAAGCTCTAGCTACCCCTCCAGGGAGGTCTGGGGATAGGAAAGGGACAGGGGTGTGGTACTGGGCCCTTCCCTGCTCATTAATATTCAGCCAAGCAAATTCAGGGCAAATTTCAGAAAGTGAAGTGGAACTCCTAATTAAAAGGTAGCCTTGAGCTGTCAATAAAATTATGCATAAAGGAAATGTTTAAAAACACGGTAGTGACTTTCTGGAGACAGATTTTCACTGGAGATGTATATAGGTATTTTAAGTCAAGTTTGGGGGTAAATAAAAAGAAAGTAGGCTCTTCAATACTGCCATTCCTTCCCTCCCTGAGGCTTAGAAAAGCATCTTTGATACACACAGTGTCGCACTACATTAGAAACTCCTGGCTAGAAGGACGGTGTGTGCATCTCTTCTATGGATTTCAGGACAGTGTCAGGGAGGGGTGTTTGTTGTTTGCTCGGGAAGGGCGTCTCCTGTGCTGAACCCCTGTACTCAGCCCGTCAGCATCACCACTCATCTTCTAAAACCAGACCACATGATAGCTCTGACCACCTATCTCCCAGCCCCGTGAGCTTGCCTCATCTTAAGGAGTTACCATGTACAGCAATCACTGTCTCCTCCATGATACTCTGAAGGTTCCGATCTGTTATCACTGGACTCCCAGCACCTAGTTTAGCATGGATGTTAAACAGTTGCAAAATGTTGGCTGAACAGATAAGTGAATGAATAGATGAAAAAATGAATGAAACATTTGACTCCATAAACTGCATGAAGTAATCCCTGCAGGACCCAACCTTTTTTCCATTATCAACACAGCGATCAGCCTACAAAGCTGGTTTCTGACATTTGTGTAACCTCCACCATACTGCTGTATCTAGAGGCACCTTATTTTCATCTTTGTATTTACCTTTTTCTCCTCCCATCACTGACTCCCTCTGGTTCCCTGTGTGTGTATGCTAAGTAGCTTTAGTCATGTCTGACTCTTTGCGATCCTATGGACTGTAGCCCACCAGACTCCTCTGTCCATGGGATTTCCCAGGCATGGATACTGGAGTGGGCTGCCATGCCCTCCTCCAGGGGATCTTCCTAACCCAGGAAAAGGAATCCATGTCTCTTATGTCTCCTGCATTGGCAGGTGGGTTCTTTACCACTAGCACCACCTGGGAAGACCCAAACCTAGACAAATCTTTCCCTGTGATGGGGCATCAACATTCCATTGTTCTACAGAATGCGACGTTGGGGTTAGAAGACTTAGCGCTTGTTCCGAGGACTCCAGGGCAGCCAGTGTTCCTTCTTCCCTCCACCCCTCTTCCTGTGGGAAAGCTTCCTTCTTACCTTCAAAGCTCCCGGCAAACAGGTAAAGCCAGGTGATGGCTGGGATGCAGAGAAGAGTCAGCGAAGCAGCCAGGAATTTCCGTCTCCCTCTGCAGACCCCCAGCATCCTCTCAGAAGTGGCAGTCCCTAATCCCAGCGCCGTGTCTCTGCCCCGAGCGTGGCGTCCTCAGCCTCCCTCATAATACTTCCTGGAAGGAAGAGCAAAGAGGAAGGGCTGAGTTCTTAGCACTGTCGATGGACAAATTGCAGAAAAGAAATATCCTGCAGATCCTGAGAGTGGTTCAGCTCATCTACAACTTCATCCCAAGAGATGATGCTGCAGTCTTGCAATCTACCCAAACTGCAAGAGTTTTTTTCCCTTGCTGTTTCTAATTTATTTATTTTTTAATTGAAGGATAATTGCTTTACAGAATTTTGCTGTTTTCTGTCAAACCTCAAAAAGAGTTCTTTACGAAATAAACAAATGCAGGATTAAACAAACTATAACAGACACCCCCCACTATGTTTCTCTCTGTCTCTCTCATGCATATATACACAGACAAGTACATAGGTGAGTTTTGAAGCCTGGACTAAGACTTAGTAAAAAGAGCACCTAGTAAACATCTTGTAAGTACCAAGCACTAAACAAGGGCTGTGTTTTCAAAAATGACCAGAACAAGCGCTGGCTCTAAAGAGCACAGTCTGACAAGAAAGACCAACATCAGGAACCCCAAGACTGTAACCACTGGGATTTTCATGAACCAATGAAGCTGATCCATCCATGTTGGGTCAAGAAGGCAGAACAGTCCCCATGTTCTGGCAGAGAGAAATGCAGAAGGCCCATCAGGCTGATGAACAACACAGTCAAGGGAAAGGAGGCTGGAGAGGCCCCAAGATCCTCCCCAAGAAGTCTGGAGCTGCACCTCAATCACTGTGGAAAACCTAGAGACATTCCACAGAGGGTGTCTTTATGGTTTTACCCCTTTCACAGGGAAGACGCCCAGAAAAGCATGAAACAATTCAAACAGGAACAGATCAGAGAGGAGAAGACAGACAACCTACAACCAGTCTGCAGAGGGACAATCGTAGACCACGCAGAAGGCCAGTAGAGAGAGGACCAAAGAAGAGGCAGAAGGTCAATTCAGACGAACTAGAGGGCCCAGGATCTTTCACCCAAGTACTTGACCAGGAAGGCACATGACTTATTTTTAAAAAATGTAAAAACCAGCAGATCATACAGTCTCATCTCCTCCCAGGTCCTAACACGGACGTCACACACTGGCTGAAAGTGAAAAGTCCACATGGACACAGGGTGGACAGGTACAAAAGCCTGCAGATTCCTAAGGAAGGGATGGCCATAGAAGAGCTGATTTGAATGTTCCCTTGGATGTGTCCCTTAAACCTTATGGGACAAAGGTCTGGTTGAAGTGTCTCCTTCCCCACCACCCTTGGTGCTTTCAGGAGGCAGGTGCCCCTCCGACTCACCTCACATTCACTAAGACATAGCCTATGGCCTATCACCTGCAGGGCTTGCTGACTGTCTGTTGAACAAATAAACAGAACTGGATCCTAACCAAAGGGGACCCTCTCAAGCTCAGGAGCCTCTGTTAGGCAAGTTGTTGGCAATGAACGCCTGATGGAGTCAATCTCAGCTGTTAAGGCCCAGCTGTCTTCTGCGACCACTCTGATGGGATTTCCTGAATGGCTCTTTCTAGAAACATATCAAAGTCCACAGGGTTAGAGGGTGTGGATGAGAAAGTAAAACCTGAAAAAGCAAAATCTCTTTAAACAAGGAGAATGTTGACTGGAGAAGTCCCTCTTAGGGAAGTGTTACATTCTGAAGCACAGGAAACAAACCCTACATACAGACTTCGCTAGTCACGGACAAGGAGGATGGCAGATAAGCTGAGGACCTCTCAGGGAGAGGGGGTGTTGGTGGAGGCTGTGCAGTTAGAAAGATCCGTATGCAAATCCGGGCGCCACACTTGAAGAGCCATGACCCTGGCAAGCCGCTCTTCTCTGTGCATTGTGTGCTAAGTCATTTCAGTCATGTTCGACTCTTTCTGACCCTATAGACTGCAGTCACAGGCTCCTGTCCATGGGATTGATTCTCCAGGCAAGAATACTGGAGTGGGTTGCCATTTCCTTCTCCAGGGGATCTTCCTGACCCAGGGATTGAACCCGCGTCTCCTGCATTGGCAGGCGGATTCTTTACCACTGAGCCACCAGGGAAGTCCCCTTTAAGTGGTACCATTACATTAAAATCACTTTTTTCTTTTCTTTTTTTACAGTTCACTTAACGATAAAGAAAACCAACAGTAAATAGCACTTATTATCTGTCAAACACTTTCCTATGTTTTTTACCTGTTTAACTCTCAAAATAACCTGAGGTAGGTATTAATATTATTTTTCCTCCCCATTTTATGGATGAGAATACTAAAATCCAGAAACATGAAATAACTTGCCAAAGGTTACACACATCTGGGGCAGAGACACCTCAAGCTTTGCTCTCCTTAAATAATTCATCCTAACAACTCTGCCAGGGGGCATTTTCCTTCTGATCAAACCTAAATCCTTCATCTTGAATCTTATGATTATTTTCTTTCCCAGGGTCAAACATATCACCATTGTTTGCTCCCATTCCACAAAAAAAGAAAAAAAAGAAAAAGAAAAGTTAAACAGACAAAAATATAGTTGGAAAGCTATAGAAAAGTTTATACTTTGAGGAAAAGATGGAATATATATGGAGCAGAACTCAAGTGGCATTAATATTTAAATAATACTTTTTAAGACTCTTTATAACACTTATTTTCGTCCTCTCCTCTCTCCATCTGCAGAAGTTAATTTCAACTGGCACAATTTGTACAAAGTTTTAAAACCGAGTCTAGGGTGGTTTGCATTTTATGATAACACTGGCATCTGAAATTAAACCCAGCAGGTAAAAAATATTCCTTCATGGATTTGACTTTTAAATGACACCTCTGTGCACTAAAAACACATTTTAAAGAAAAATCTCAATTTATATCAGAGGTTCCTCCAGGAAGTTAATACTGGAATCAACACAAGAAGGAACGGAGGAAGAAACCGGAGGTGGGCTGCAAATTACATCCCAATCATGTGCAAATGTGGATGTATTAACTAGAAAACCAGTCTCTAAACAGTTCTTGCCTGGGGGAAGGGAGAAGCCCTCACTTATTAACCCAGGTGGCTAAGAGTCATCTTTAAATGCCCCTCTCCCAAATCCAACACCCAATTCCTCCTAAGTAACTACTTCATTTGTCTTTGCCCATCTGTCTTAGCCAGTGAAATTCAAATCTATAAAATACATGTAGGTGCCAGAACAATGACTGTGATCTGTTAAGCCACAAAAGTAGGATTCAAAGTTGAACATAAAATGTGATTGCAAGTATCCTTCATCCAATGTGATAAACTGTTTATAAATGTATAAATACTATCGTAGCTATAGATATGAAAAAGGTATGTGTTGAAAGTTACCTCTGGGTGTAGCATATGGGTAATTTCAACAAACATGAACACATATTTTTCCTAAATAGTGTAACATTTAGGAAGCATGCATTGCTTTTATTATTTAAAAATATTTAAAAACTCAAATCACCGTGTCTTCTTGTTGTATTGCTTGTGATTCAAAACACCTCTGTGCAGACAGTGTAGTATGTACGTGTTACTCTTTCTTTGCATGCTAGAGGCAGTCAGTTAACATCTGTAGGATGCCAGTTGGGAATATACCCTCCATGGTTGGCTGGTTACCACTCGAAAGACCAGTCAGAGGCTTACATTCCAAATATTGCTGTGTTCAGCCATCTCTCATCAGCACCAGAGGCTGTCCTTTAATTAGCATCATGGATATTAGAAATGCTTCTTCATGGGTGTTCAAGATGTGCAGATTTTCCAGAAACACTGCACATGAAGAGGGAATAAAAATCTAAGTAACCTTCAAAAAAAAAAAAAAAAAACTAAGGAATTCAATGGTCAAAATCCAAAGGAATCACTTAGGATATAAAAACTGATCCTACAGACATGGAGCAGAGAAGGGTCACTAATCTGCCTCACTAAAAGATTGACTGAACCCTGAAAGTCAAGCATTGTCACCGCTATAGTAAGCAGGCAAAGAACTGTCTTTCCCTGAGCTTATAATACAGGTCCTATAGCAGAGAGGAAGCCAGGTGGCTCAGTGGTATAGAATCTCTCTGCAATGCAGAAGGCACAGGTTTGATCTCTGGGTCAGGAAGATCCCCTGGAGAAGGAAATGGCAACCCACTCCAGTATTGTTGCCTGGGAAATCCCACAGACTGAGGAGCCTGGAGGGCTACAGTCCATGGATTTGCAAAGAGCTGGACACGACTGAGCACACACCCACCCACACACCCACACAGCAGATAGACAGCTGACCGATGTTAGCTTGGCTATTACCATTCATTATGCATACTATTGCTGGTATGACACTCCCCTCTCCTGTCTATACCCAAGCCATCCTCTCACACACAGCCCAGAACCTGCAACGTCCTTCCTCCTCTGCTGAACCTCAGGAGGAATTTCAAGTCATTGCTGTTCTCTGCAACCTCTCCAGCAAGTCCAGGCTTGAAGGCATTCCTTCCTTCCCATTTTTTCTAAATCCCCATAGGTGTCAAAAGCACATTTCCTGATCACATAATTGTTTTCTAGTCACTTCCTGTGCATTAATTTCTCTGTATCAGATCAAAACCTCTAAGGGCAAAGAATCCCAGTCATCTACCGGTAACTAAGACAACGGTTTATACTTAGCCATCTCAACTCAAAGTGTGGTCCCTGAACCAGCAGTAACAGTAGAAATGCAGAATCTCAGGCCCCACCGCAGCCCTACTAAATCAGAATCTACATTTTAACAAGATCCCAGGTGACTGAAGCGCACCTTACAGTTTAAGAGGCCTGCACTCAAGCACTTGGTAAATAACTAGTTAATACCCAAAGCTGGCCTCCCACTGAAACCAAGTAAGACTCTGTGGGGCTCCTGGGCACAGAAGCCTTTCCATTTCTCCCATTTCTTCTTTGCAGGGAATAGATTCCAGCCTCCATTAGCTTCCCTGAGTTTCAAAGAGCAAATTTGAACAACTGCTAATCAGGGAGACAAGAAAGCAGCAGTCAAGAAACAATACTACAGCCTTGGGGCAAGGTCCTGGTTCCACCTCAAGAGATACACATAACTAGATCT